ACGAGAGAGGGAGAAAGGAAGAGAAAAAGAGAAACAAGAATAAAAAGAGAGAGGGACAGAAAGAGACTGAGAGACAGAGAGAAAGAAAGTAAGAGAGAGAAAGAGAGAGAAAGAGAGAAAGAGAAAGAAACAGAGAAACAGAGAAAGAAAGAGAGAGAAAGAGAGAGAGAGAGAGAGAGACAGAGAGAGAGAGAGCGCAAAAAAGAGGGATAGTGTGTGTATGTGTGTATGTGTGTGTATGTGTGTGTGTATATGTGTGTGTGTGTGTGTGTGTGTGTGTGTGTGTGTGTGTGAGAGAGAGAGAGAGAGAGAGAGAGAGAGAGAGAGAGAGAGAGAGAGAGAGAGAGAGAGATGGAGAGATAGAGCGAGAGGGAAAAAGAGAGAAAAAGAGACAAAGAAAGAAAAAATGTCGAGAGAGAAAGAAGAAAGGCTTGATGAGAAAAGCGAACAAATTAAGAAAGAGAGAGATGGGTAGCAATCAATGAAACAGAAGAGCATCTCAAATTAGACAGGGGAAGCCTGAAGGATCTCTCCAAGTTGTCCTTCATCTGTTCCCCAAGATGATCTTCGAGGGGCACAAATCTGGAAGACCAGCCAGCACATCCCGGCAGAATACAGGACCACCCAACACCACCCAGCAACGATCAGCATCTCATAGCACCACTCAACACAACCTAGAAAGTCCCAGCACCATTCAACAAAGCTCAGCATCTCCCAAAACCACTCAGTACCATCCATCACCACCATCACCAACCGTCACCACCCTTCACCATTCTTCACCACCCATTACCAACAATCACCAACCATCACCAACTATCATCAACCATCACCACCCATCAACACCCATCACCACCCATAACCAGCCACCACCAACTATCACCAACTATCACCACCTATCACCAACCATCATCACCAAGCACCAACCATCACCACCAAGCACCAACTATCACCATCCATCACCAACCATCACCAACTATCACCAACCATCACCATCCATCAACACCCATCACCACCCATCACCAACCATCACCAACTATCCCCTACCAGCAACGACCATCACCAACCATCACCAAGCATCACTAACTATCACCAACCAGCAACGACTATCACCGACCATCACCAACCATCACCAACCATCACCAACCAGCACCACCCAGCAAAACCCAGCAACACCTAGCACGACCAAAGAAAAGAAACTTCCCTCTCCAGGACGCAGTCAGTTCCGCTGAGTATTTCCCCCGAGACCTTGACCTTGACCTTTCAGCTAAGGCCGCTATACGAACTTCCGTTTGTGAAGTTGATGTGCGTTCCGTGTGTTACCGAGTGAACCATATATGTGTCTAGTTTTAGAAAGAGTTTTATGGCCATTTCAACAAAATAGGTCATATAATTGCAAACGATTACAGGTGTTACAAAAGAGTAACAAACACAAAAAATGGAAGGAGGACAGACCAGGACGATATATGTTTGATAGGAAATAAGGATTTTTTGTTTGTTTTTGTAAAGTGTTTTACGGCGCTCGCAACTGCATAGGTCATATGAGCGCGCAGGACACACCT